AGTCTCACTGTCCTTGCCCAGGCCGCCCAGGGCTGAGTTTCTAAACTCTATTTTTTTTTTTTGAGGCGGGAGTCTCGCTCTGTCGCCCCAGGCTGGAGTGCCAGTGGCGCGATCTCGGCTCACTGCAAGCTCCGCCTCCCGGGTTTCCCGCCATTTTCTCCTGCCTCAGCCTCCAAGTAGCTGGGATACAGGCGCCGCCCACCACGCCGGCTAATTTTTTTGTATTTTTAGTAGAGACGGGTTTCATTGTGTTAGCCAGGATGGTCTCGATCTCCTGACCTCGTGATCCGCCCGTCTCGGCCTCCCAAAGTGCTGGGATTACAGGCTTGAGCCACCGCGCCCGGCCTGGTTTCAAACTCTAGACCTCAAGTCAAGTGATCCTCCCACCTTAGCCTCTCAAAATGCTGGGATTAGAGGTGTGTTCCACCACACCAGGCCAAAAATCACTTCTTAACATCAGTATTACGTCTCAGTAATTTTATTTTTAATTTTTCTTGGGGGGACCCATTTTATCTCCTTTGTGTGACTGTATGAAAGTTTACAATGCCTAAAATTCATTCAATCAATTTAACTCTGTTATTTAACAAAAGATACAGACTTACATTATTTGTCCTCCAATGGTTGACTTGCCAGCATCTAAAAGTAACATCAACATGCAAACCATAGGTTAAAACCAAAAACCAATGGCTACATATGCAAGCAACAGTGCCCTTTAACATACATAATTAAATCTTCCATATGAATTTGTGGCATGAATCCTAGTTCATTACCCTTCTCCTTTTGAAAATGAGGCTCAAGGCTGGGCTCGGTGGCTCACGCCTGTAATTCCAGCACTTTGGGAGGCCAGTGAGGGCAGGTCACCTGAGGTCAGGAGTTCAAGACCAGCCTGGCCAACATGGTGAAACCTCATTTCTACTAAAAATACAAAAATTAGCTAGGCATGGTGGCGGCCACCTGTAATCCCAGCGACTTGGGAAGCTGAGGCAGAAAAATCGTGTGAACTTGGGAAACAGAGGTTGCAGTGAGCCGAGATCACACCATTGCACTCCAGCCTGGGCGACAAGAGCGAAACTCCGTCTCAAAAAAAAAAAAGAAAAAGAAAAAAAAAAAGAAACATTTAGAAATACTTTACTGATAAACCAAAGAATTTTTTAACAGATTACTCCGAAGGCACAGCAGCAACTGACTATAAATTCCCCAGGAGGAGTTTCAGAGAGCAAAAGCAGCTGAAGAACTGTGAACTACATTTAGGTGCTTTCACTTATAGCAAGTAAGGTATGTGCTCCTTTACACTTTTTTTTTTTTCCTCCGAGACAGAATCTTGCTCCGTTGCCCAGAGTTGGAATGCAGTGGCGCTATCTTGGTTCACTGCAACCTTCACCTCCTGGGTTCAAGCAATTCTCCTGCCTCAGCCTCCAGAGTAGATGGGATTACAGGCTCATGTCGCCATACCTGGCTAATTTTTGTATTTTTAGTAGAGACAGGGTTTCACCATGTTGGCCAGGCTGGTCTTGAACTCCTGACCTCATGATCCACCCACCTTGGCCTCCCAAAGTGCTGGGATTACAGGCGTGAGCCACAGTGCTCAGTCGCTCCTTTACACTTTCAAAAGAGTTCTTGCTACTAAAAGAAGGAGTATGGTGTTTCATATTCGGGGGGAAGGCAGAGACAGTAGAAATGAAAGACACATAATTCTGTATTTTTTTCTCACAATTCTGGGGATAGGTCATATAATCAGATAATATCTGAATAAATTAAATAAATTTGTTCTTGTGTTTTTTGCTAAACCAGCAACCTGGCAAGCATCCAGAAGTTACTCCAAATTATTGATTTCCTGCTTCACACAAAATTAAGATATCTGGTAAGGTCAATCACATTAAAATTAACAAAGTTAACTGAGGTTCATTAAAAAAGGGCACATTTTCTAAGATATTGATATTATCTATGCTGAACCACCATCAATGGTCAATAGACTAATTATATGTTACATACAATATACTGAGGTTTTTCTTCCAGCATCTATGCTATTACAGAATTATTCATTTGCCTAAACTTCAAGAAAAGTACTTGCATTTTTTTGCCAGCTAAAAAAAATCTAGCAAGTTAAAAATCAAGACATTTTCAATTAATTTGCTTCAGTTTCACTAAACATCTCCAAGTAGCTAAAAAGGATGTTCTATGTTTCATGTATCCAGTAACTTTAATTGCTATGACAGCAGCTTACCTACATGCCCAATGAATACTACATTTACATGCTCTTTCTTAGGAGCACCTGGTGGTGCAACCACAGACTTAGGTTTTGGGATCTCCTCTTCCTCCTCCATCATTTCATGGGCACTTTCCTCTGGCGGCCTTCCATCTCCCAAGGAACCAACCCCTGGCTCTGCTTCACTTATTTCTTCTTTGTGCTCCCATGATTCTTCTGGAGACATTTCTGTCTCTCCATTTTCTACTGAAGGAAGACATTTTAACTTAGTATTCTGAAAAAGATTTATAATCTATACTTTAAAATACACAAGCTTTAAAACAACAAATGGGACTTTGCATATGTAGTTCCATTTCCTAATGCCTAGTGACACATAAGCAGGAAAACCTCTTTCGTAACAGAAATGGGTGACAGCTTTCAAGGCAGACTCACTGCTGGTATCAGATCAGAGGGCACTGACTCACAGGCTGAGACTGCTATTTTAGCAAAGCTTCATTTTCATGAGGACAAACAAAATGTAAACAAGAGTCCTAACATTCCCAACAGCCTAGTTATTCCAGTGTTGAGACACCCTGATAGTAAGAAAAAAAGTAAAGTTTAAAATTGTGACACACGAAAAGTATGAAAGGATTTAGGAAATATTTTCTTTTTCCTCTTAAAGTAATAAGACTTTGGCATCAACTTTAATCACCCTGGGAACATGAAACCCTTAAGAATTAAGTTATAAAAAGGAAGAACATTTTTCACCAAAAAAACAGAACATGTGGCCTGGCATGGTGGCTCACACCTGTAATCCCAGCACTTTGGGAGGCCGAGGTGGGCGGATCACGAGGTCAGGAGTTCCAGACCAGCCTGACCAAGATGGTGAAACCCCATCTCTACTAAAAATAAAAAAATTGCCAGGCGTCGTGGCACGCACTTGTAATCCCAGCTACTCAGGAAGCTGAGGCCGGAGAATCATTTGAAGCCGGGAGGCGGAGGTTGCAGTGAGCCGAGATCACACCACTGCACTCCAGCTTGGGCGACAGAGCGAGACTCCATCTCAAAAAAAGAAAACAGAACATGTACAGGTATTTAAATTGACTTTACCATTCCTCCACTCAATTTTATTTGCAATCACTAAGTTTATCAAGACAGTGTTAATGCCTAGTTTGTTCTACTTTCTAAATACTAATAGCAAAGACTCAATATGACTTAAATGTAGGCATTACAATAATCATAACACATTTGCACCTTAAATCTTGAGAATGAAAGAGTTTCATATTACTGTATTAATATGATCAGAAATTTTCTTACCAATAGGTTCTGAAAGTTCCATGCTAACAGCTGAATTTGAACCTAGACAAGAGATTGAAATATAATATATATTTACAAAACAGTATCTAGCTTTATACAGCATAGACAACCTAATGTTTTCTCAAGTAGACTTTCAAAGACAGCATCATTACCTTCACACAATGACTGCTCCTCTTGAGAGGATTCCACAGGTGCTGTTTAACAGAAATAAGTTCTGTTAAAAATTGATAATTATCCATCCATTTCACTTATCTTTTAATATGTAGTAAAAACAGAAGTTCAATAACACGACACAAGCCTCAATCAATAACCCCAGATCAATGGCAGCTAACTCAGGCCTTCAAATTAGAAGTCTCTGCTTAACGTACTTTTCAAAATTCTACTAATTACAGCTAATTTTGAAACATTTTCAGTAGTTTCAATGTATTCATAAAAACATGCTTATTCTTTTGATTTGCTTTATAAACTTTTTCTTCACAGATACTGTCAAAGTAATCTGCAGCTCAGCACACATCAGATGTGTTCAACAAATACACATCTACTTCCCATGATTCTCTCTTGGTAAGCTAGCCCAAGAAAGCTGTGATTAGCTTTTTTTTTTTTTTTTTTTTTGAGACTCAGTTTCACTCTTGTTGTCCAGGCTAGAGTGCAATGAATGGCACCATCTCGGCTTACCACAGCCTCCACCTCCCTGGTTCAAGCGATTCTCCTGCCTCAGTCTCCTGAATAGCTGGGATTACAGGCACATGCCACCACGCGTGGCTAATTTTGTATTTTTAGTAGAGACGGGGTTTTGCCATGTTGGTCAGGCTGGTCTTGAACTACTGACCTCAGGTGATCCGCCCACCTCGGCCTCCCAAAGTGCTGGGATTACAGGTTTGAGCCACCGCGCCCGGCCTGTGATTAGCCCATTTTAATATTCCATACTCATCAAAATTCCTGAATAAATTAGATACCTGTAAGATAAATGACATTTGTATAAAGTCCTGAAATACATATAAGCCATTTAAAAAACATCTGCAGAAAAGGTGATTCCAGTGATGCCAGTTTTTTCCTACACTAGAATTCTAAGACCAAGCAACAATCCAGTTTCCAGTTGCCGCACTGCAAATTTATTTATGACATTACTGGAAGAGATGTGGAAGAAATACATACTAATAACCAAATATCTAAGTCTGCTTTTTGGATTTTAGTTTGTCAGATACAGACAAACCTAAATTATACTCCAATATGAACGTGCCCCTGCTCTAAACAATCTCCACCATAGAAAAGGACACCAAAGAATTAAATCATATGAATCATGCACAGCAAGTATGAAAAAATAATGAATTTGTAACCTGTAAAATCATCACCCGGAAAGGATCAATACCTTTAAGAGTCAAGAGAGTGTTTTGGGCCCAACCTTCAATAGCATCAAATGTTGAGTAAAGTAATTTCCTGTCCCTGATAGGTAAAGGACAACCAAATTGTTTTTCTTTTTTATTTTTTAAGTGACAGGCTCAGATTGTCACTTAGGAAGATCTGTTTCTTGCAGCTTAAACTACATGAACTAGAGTGGGCAAGACCCCACAAGCAGGAAGACCCACATCACCACTACAAGAAAGCATGCCATGGAGACAACCAAGCAATACAACTGGAAGGGCAGGCGGGCTACACCTGACAGGAGGTGGGAGAAAGGGAGAGTACAAGGTCTACGATGACCCCAAGCTGTGGGATGAGCAGGACATTAACAAACAGGGGGGAAACCCATTTGAACCTGGTTTGGAAGGAGACCGAAACTGTACTTCAAACACAATACAGATTTAACCTTTTTTTGCTTTTCCATTTTGAAGAAAAGTTTAAGGGTAAGGTAAGGAAAAATTACTCAATTTTCAGAGAAAGCCAGGCAGTACTGAGAGAATCAAGTTCACAGGCCACCCTAAGAAGGAGGTGACAGCATGGGGTACTCTCAAAGCCTGGAACTAAGCTGACTCCTAGGCTTAACTCCTGGCTTATGACAATCTGTGAATGCATTTATTCCACTGAAACTGTGGGAATGATATACCATCTACCTGAGAGGATTGTTGAGGGGTTTATGGGAGGAAATGGGAGAATAATTTGTTTAGTGTCAGTTAAAGAACTCCTGGCATATTCAACAAATGTCAGTCTCCATCTGCTATGTAACTACTCCAACTCAATCCTATCAATATGTATTGAGTATCAGTCAGACACAGTGGCTCACACCTGTAATCCCAACACTTTGGGAGGCCAAGGCGGGGGGATCATTTGAGTTCGGGAGTTCAAGACCAGCCTGGCCAACATGGCAAAACCCTGTCTCTACTAAAAATACAAAAAAATTAGCCGAGTGTGGCGCACACCTGTAATCCCAGCTACTCGGGAGGCCGAGGCAGGAGGATCACTTGATCCCGGGAGGTGGAGGTTGCAGTGAGCCAAGATCACGTCACTGTACTCCAGCCTGGGCAACAAGAGTGAAACTCCATCTCAAAAAAAAAAAAGAAAAACTAATAAAAATGCGTGTGTGTGTGTGTGTGTGTGTGTGTACTGAGTATCTATTATGGGCCAGACAAGGATAAAAAGTACTCACGAATCCATATTGTGTAGGGGGTGGGTGGTGGTGGTAGCAATTTGCTTTAACTAATTTTTATTGAGCCCTATGTGCCGACTGCTAGCTCATCCCCACCAAAAGCCCTAGGAAACAGATCCTGTAATCACTACCATCTAACATACAGGCACATCAGAATCAACTGCAGGCATTTCCAAGTTATGCAAGTGCCATCTTCCCCTTCCTCAGATAGCCCCTGCTGAAAATCAGTATTCAAGTAAAGTAAGCTCTGGTGGACATACAGTTATGACGTACTGTATGTGGAAGCAGGAAAATGACTGGTATGGTGGGCTTCCTCACCACTCTCAAGCGTATCACTAACTGTAACAGCTTTTCAAAACAAAACAGTACTTACACCTGACCACTTAGTTCCTGGCACCAGCTATTAGATTTACAATACAGATGGCTCCTCAACTTACAATGGATTGTAAATTGCAAATGGGTTGGGCATGGTGGCTCACACCTGTAGTCCCAAACCTCTGGGAGTCCAAGGTGGGAGGATGGCAAGAGTTTGAGACCAGCCTGGGCAACATGGCAAAACCCCATCTGTACCAAAAAAAAAAAAAAAATCTGTCAGGAGTGGTGGCACACGCCCAGAGTCCCAGCTGCTCGGGGGGCTGAGCCCGGGAGGTCAAGGTTGCAATGAGTAGTGATTGCACCACTGCACTCCAGCCTGGGCGGGACAGTGACACCCTGTCTTAAAAAATAAAAATAAAACCGATATATTTCTACCCTGTCTTCATTCATCCACAGTAAACCCTTACTTCTTCATTCTTCTCTGGTCTTATTCATGATGCATACAACATCCAGATTTTACTGGCTACTAATGAGCCTGGGCTTAGAATCTTCCTAGGTTGAACTGTTCATGGCTAGGAAATAGATGATTAGGGTGTAATTTCTTACATCCTGCATGGTTCACAGCTGCTAGTAAAAGAAGTTAGAACTCTCTCAAGGAATGAAATTAAGAGTTTCAAATTTTCCAACGTTATCTCTATGTTTAGAAACACACCCTTATTAACTGTTTAAAAATGGAACAATTTTTGTAAGTGGAAAAGCTTTTCAGAGTTTACCACTGAGTGCAACTGCCATGCCCCAAATTAAAAGGAAAAACTAAGTTTGAGACCAGCCTGGGCAACATGGCAAAAACCCATCTTTGCAAAAAATATATATGTATAAAAATTAGGCTGCACATGGTGGTTCATGCTTGTAGTCCCAGCTACTTAGGAAGCTGAGGCAAGAGAATTGCTTGAGCCCGGGTAGCAGAGGTCGCAGTGAGCCAAGATTGCACCACTGCACTCTAGCCTGGGTGAAAGAATGAGACCCTGTCTCGGCCAGGCGCAGTGGCTAAAGCCTGTAATCCCAGCACTTTGTTGGGAGGCCGAGACAGGCGGATCACGAGGTCAGGAGATCGAGATCATTCTGGCTAACACGGTGAAACCCCGTCTCTACTAAAAATTACAAAAAACTAGCCGGGCGAGGTGGCGGGCGCCTGTAGTCCCAGCTACTCAGGAGGCTGAGGCAGGAGAATGGCGTAAACCTGGAAGGCGGAGCTTGCAGTGAGCTGAGATCTGGCCACTGCACTCCAGCCTGGACGACAGAGCGAGACTCCGTCTCAAAAAAAAAAAAAATGAATGAGACCCTGTCTCAAAAAAAAGAGGAAAAATTAGGCTGGGCATGGTGGCTCACACCTGTAATGCCAGCACTTTGGGAGGCCGAGGTGGGCGGATCACCTGAGGTCCGGAGTTTGAGACCAGCCTGACCAATATGAGGAAACCCCGACTCTACTAAAAATACAAAAATTTGCCAGGCATGATGTCTCATGCCTGTAATCCTAGCTACTTGGGAGGCTGAGGCAGGAGAATCACTTGAACTTGGAAGGCGGAGGTTGCTGTGAGCTGAGATTGCACCATTGCACTCCAGCCTGGGCAACGTGAGTGAAACTCCGTCTTTTTTAAAAAAAAAAAAAAAAAAAAAGAAGCAAAACTAATAGTATAATTTATAATAAAGGAAAATTAATGAATTGGCTGTGATACTTGGTACATTACCACAAATTTTAAAACATGAAGTGAAAAGATTTTACCACAAGACAGCAGAACACTAGTACTGCCTGTGATACAGATGATAAACTGGATCTTGTTTTTTTTTTTTAGAGATGGAGTCTCGCTCTGTCGCCCAGGCTGGAGTGCAATATCGTGGTCTCGGCTCATTGCAACCTCCACTTCCCAGGTTCAAGCGATTCTCCAGCTTGAAGTCCTGAGTAGCTGAGACTACAGGCGTGTGCCACCATACCCAGCTAATTTTTGTAGTTTTAGTAGAGACAGGGTTTCACTATGTTGGCCAGGCTGGTCTCAAACTCCTGACCTCATGTGATCTGCCCACCTCAGCCTCCCAAAGTCCTGGGATTACAGTCATGAGCCACCGCACCTGGCCTTAAATTTTTTATAGAGATGGGGTTTCAATAGGTTCCCCAGACTGGTCTCCAACTCCTGCGCTCAAGCAATCCACCCACCTCAGCCTCCCAAAGTGCTAGGATTACAGGTGTGAGCCACCGCGCCCAGCTTCCAAAATACTTTAATAACCCAAAAGGAAACC